GAGAATTCGTGCAGGTAGAAAAATTATCAGGTTATATAAAAATACATGATATTTATGTACTAAGGCAGCTCAACAATGATCATTAAGTCAAGATTATCGTTGGATGCTCGGTGAATAAGTAAATATATCTATTTGCTTTCTTGAACACATAGTCAAAAGTAATTGTCCAATTTGTCATAGCAATATCCTTGATACTCTCAATATAATTAGAATAAGAATGATTTCAGGGGAAGTTGTGTTGAATCAAAGACAAAGCTTTAAGAGAGTTCGAATAAATGTTAACTTCGGTTAGCTTAATATCCCGGCAAAGTTTGATTCATTTTAAAATGCATAGTAGTTTAACAGTTGTGCTAGAGTGATATTCGATATATTTAGAAATTCCCTTAATTCAATTTTCATAGGCACTACGAATTAAGCCTCCATAAACTGTAGTCCCATTGATATTAATTGATCTATCAATGTCGAGTCTAGTGTAGCCTATTTCAGGAGGGCTCTATTTTACTTCAGATCATGGACTTTAGATTGCTATCATTGATTAGTTGTTATATGCTGATGAATACAATGTCTTTATTTGATGTATCCTCTTCTAAAAAAAAATGTTCTTGCATATTGCCTTCCAGATATTCTAACATGCCAAGGCAAAACATTTTTGCCAAGGAGTCCCTCTTGAGTTTGAACTTTTGATATCATTCTTTGCATTATAAATTATCTACTCCTACACAGAAAGAGAAAAGAAAATATTAAATTTAGAAAACTTAACTAGTTTCATCGAAACTTTCCAAGCTTCCTTACGATCACGCAAGAAGTGAATTGAGGAATCTAGGGAGTTGCAATCGTATGGGCAAATCCTTTGACAAGGGTTATTCCCATTACCAAAGGTATAATTGATTTAAAGGTGGTTTCAAGCAGCTTTAAAAAAAAACATATAATTTTCTCATAGGTTGGCCGTTTCTAAAGTAAGGTACCTTTTACAACTTCCAGGGATTTGAAAAAAGATGCTCTTAGATAAAAGATGCTCCAAGGATTTGATAAGAGCCTACAACATTTAATTTATGGAGAGAGCCTATAACCTCCAGGGATTTGATAAGAGATACTCTCTCCTGTTGTAAGTACAAGGTGCTTTCTAAAAAAAATTGATAGTATTTAATATAAGACACTTGGTAGAGTATTATTTATTTATTTTAATGTTATCTCTATTTCAACTCATTAATTATGAAAGAAAAAATGTAATATAAATTTAAAATTTTTCATTTAAGAATGGGTAAAATTAGAAGTTTATTTTTTTTTTCAAACGAAGTTAATAACTAAATCATTTCTTCTTGGTTTCAACGTGATGGTTAGAGATACCTTACATGGAGATAGGAGAGAGTAATTTAGGACAACTGTTCCACTTGTTAGATGATCGGCTATGATTCGTTTGGCATTTTCCATAGAAAAAAATCACTCTGAGGCCCCTTGTAAGGATTGTAATTACTAAGAGATCATGTGAAATGTACAAAATATTTTTAAATTTTAAATCTTGTATAATTACAACTTAACAAAAAAAAAATGTCAACTTGAATGTGAGTTTAATATCAAATTATCATTTTCTTTTGCCAGGATATAATTGGATAGGATTTGGGACTTAGCAGCAATTTACCCATTTTATAGGGCTTTAAGACAATTGAAATATTTATTTGAGACTTCCCAATAATTTTCCCTTTTCCATACCCAAACCTAAGTTAAGAAGCTAAAAGCCAGCTAACAAGCCATTTATTATGCTCGGATAAGAGTTTTTTTTTTTTTCAAATGTCTTTTTTCCCCTCCTAATTAAGGTAGCTTCAAAGCAACTTTTCATAGCTAGAGTTTATAATTCAGATCAACCTAAATCCACCCAAAAAAATTAGGATCGGGTTTGACTATATGAGTTTTTTAAGAAAGTAAGATATTTTAAGCTCGATCCAAATAAATTCATCCTAAATTGAGCCTGATCATTGAAATTTTTAGCTCTATATGTATATAGCATTTATAATTTCAACAAAGCTCGACATGCCAGCCTAAACCCGGCCAAAAAAGGTTAGAGTTAAGCTTGGCTATTTGAATTTTTTTAAGAAGGTATGATACTTTAAGTCAAATCCAAACAAGCTTGACCTGCCCAAATTACCAGCTCTATTTGTAACTTTAAAGGTTCAATTGTGTTATGTGTATCCAGGAGAAGAGTCAAAAACTTTTATTGGGAACGAGATAACAAAATATATATGATAATAAAAAATTATATATATATATATATATATGTATATATATCATTAAGAAAGCATAAATATTTTAACATATATATTTAAATTCAATTTTACAAATATATAATAAAAATAAATATATATCTTTATTTTTAAAATTTTGATCATTGACTTTTTATGAGGTGAGAATAATTAATTATCATGTTTATGATAAAATTTTTAGCAATTTCTTTCTCAATATAAACTATCATTAATTTGATAAAGATTGTATCTTTCCTATGAGTGTTGAATGATTTAAGTTCATCTTAAAGTTTTGTTTTATCTAAAAACCTCTATTATTTGCTTACTCTATTTACTATTTAATTCTTTCAATTAATAATTCTAGTAAATAAATATATTAACATGATAATGATGCTCAATTGTTAAAATTATTTATGTCGATGAGATCTAAGTATATCACGGTAAAAATCATTTATATAATAAATTTTAATAGTTTGGTTACTACAAAAAATAATTTTTTTTAAAAGAATATATTTTAACCATATCCTTTTAACTTTTGGATAATTGATTTTATGATAGATATCAAATACATAATATTCAATATATTTTAAAATTTTTGTTGCAATATTTGATAAAGTTTGTTTGTAATAATTCTCATAATTTATTTTATCAAATATAAAATGAAACTAAAATCAAATGACATCAATGCTTGCATTATCTTGTTGAAAATTAGTAACTCCTATGACACTATACTTTCAAACTACTGAAATGATTGGATTATATTGGCGTAAAAGATCACATATAAAATTAAAATAAAAATTCTATCTAGTGTTTTAAAACTTTTATAATGTGTCAATTTAGAGGGTTAAAAATATTTAACCCTATATTTTACTAAAAAAAAAGTTAAAAAGTTAAGAGGGTTGTGACCCTTACTGGTTCCTCCTGTCTCCACCCTTGGGTATATTCATTGGAAGCATTTAATGTAATTTAAAATTTTCAAAAACCCAGATTTACCCCCACTCCCTTCCCTTTGAAATTCTAGATTTTGCAATTTATCAATTTATGTTAAATTTTTAGCATTTACAAATATTGTTTCTATAGTTCTAATGCATTTTTGTTAAAGATATCAAATTATACATACAGATGTGGGTGTCATAAAAACTCATTTCTTTTTCAGTCATTATACATCTAAACTTATTTTTGAATTACATCATTCGACAAGTTTAGTTCATCAAACTGATTGGAATAGCACCTCACCTCACGTGTATTAGGAGTGTTAGAGGAAAGTCCTCAATCATTAACGTTTTGGGTCCCAAAATCCTTTGCCTCAATTCTCTTGGATCATCGTGACAATGTCAATCCAGTTTTAGTATAGATGATGGTAGAACTAAATGGCGTTAACAAAACAAACGTTCTTACAAATGACTAAAATGGCATGAACTAGGGTAGCTAATATGGATTTAATTTGTGTATATATATATATATAAAGCCTATAATTGTTCTCACCTCTAGTGTGGGGGAGTTTTGCTCCTCTTCATGGGCCGCAAAACACTTCGCGTTTGTAGGGAATGTGAGTTCATGCCAGATCTTAAAAGAGAGACTGTCATGACACTCCATTTATTAAGGCTTGATGCGCCATCGTTGCTCTCCATTTATTGGGCTTCGTTAGCCATGGATCTGATATGGAGGAGTTGTCCATCAGACCAAAGTCACTTTTGGGGTCCAATCATATTTTAATCCAAAAGATTGCCCTTCACAATTTTTCTATTAAGGCTGGATTGCACGTTTATCTAGAATTAATAATTTAGATGAGTCGAACTTATTTAAATGGAGCTTAAAATATCTTAAGCTCATATAACTAAGTTAGGTCCTAATCTCTCGGGCTTTTGGGCTTATTTTGGCTAGCATAAATATCTTAATTGTTAAATATTATTTTATTTTTTTACTTTTTATGTAATTTCAATTGTTTTTTAAAATTTAATATTTTTAATTTTTATCCTTTTTTATATTATTTTATAAATAATAAAAAATAAATTTGGATATTTGGGTTAAGCACATTCAAGTTCGAGCTTGATCTAAATTTTTTTAGGTTTATTTGAGTTGCCCAAATAAATTTGGAGTAAAGAAAATTTTATAAACTCCTAAGCTCGTTCCCAATATTTTTAGACTTATTTAGGCTGGTCCATTAAGCTTGACCTAAATTACCATCTCTACATTATATTGCTCTAAAGTGGCATGTGACAATTTCTAATAGTGTTATGCTGTTAATAAAAATTGCAAATTCTACCTACGTCAATTGTTCATTTTTCATATGTCACTTGTTCATTTTTCTAAGGACAATAAGGTTATTTCAATTAGCTTTTTAATTTTATTTTAGCCCTTTATACTTGCAATGAAATTTTTTTGAATGAAATTTAGTTGTTTAAAGGGACACTCACTGAAATTTTTCCTTTTTTTTTCCCTTGAAAATGATTATGATATTTAGATGCAATCCGCAGAAACATTTCAAGTTAATCGTGAGATCCATGCATCCAACCTTCAATGCAAATCGTAAAAAACTATTGATCATTATAAAATTCATCAATACATAATTATATATTAAACAATTGCTATCTTTGAAAATATCCTAACGCTTATCTGCTTTTTTTTTTTTTAAGAATATAGATTTGTCTATTCTTAGAAACATACACAGAGCATGTCCATATAACGGTTTTTTTCTCTGAATTTTAAAAAACAAAATTGTTCTTTGAAAATAAACCAAAAAAAAAAAAAACATACCAAAGCATTCCTGTTACTATTGTTTGGGCTTAAAATAAAGCGCCAGCCCAGAGACAAGAAGGAGGAGCCAAACAAAATGACATGACAGGCTCGAGATGCAGGCAGAGACATAGCCCGGTCCATGTTTACAAGAAGGATCGTGCCACACACATAGTAGGCGTAATCCTCAGGATTTGGAATGATTGGATGTTGCAGATTGTTGAGTGAATATGACATAACGTGCCATGAATCTCACAAGGCCTTGTTAAGTGGTTGCTGATATTTCATGTAGGCTCCAAATCTCATGAGAACAAAGGTCTCAGTTGAATGCTTAAAAAAGGACCTAAGGATCATGAGGATTAGAATCAACAATGCTTCACCAACATTTTAAACAGGGTCATTTTACTTTCCAAATTTACCTTGTATTCCCGGTTAGCCTTAGAACCATTTCCAGTTTCAAGTTATAATCAACATGCCTGTATTTTTATATTTTCACCATTAATTCAGAAAAAGTTTTGTTTCAATCTCTTTGCATCTTCACATCTAAGTAAACTGTGATAAAAGAGCTTGAAAATTCTATTATTATCTTTGAGATTCAATATCTTTAACACGTTTGGTATTTATTGTTTTGCGAAGAATCACTATATAAAATCAATAAAGCTAATCCATTACCATATATACACATAAACCCATGGTCCTCCTTTACAGTAACTGTGTCGATCATTACACAGTGTTTCTCTCCTTTTGTGCATCTCCTTATTGTATACAAGCAATGCTCGAGAATTAGTCACTCATGATATGAATCTGGAGAAGAACCTGCTCTCAACTCCCAAGGTTTTGTTGATTAATTATCACCTATTTTGCTTTAATTTAATCTTCTCTTGTGTATATATAATCTTATGATCGAAATCACTTTTTTGCATTGTTTGATGCAGAATGATAAGAAAAATAATGGCATTAATGATGACTCCTCTATAGAGAAATTTGTTTTAAGGAATAATGATGGAGATAAATGGATGAATGATATTGGTTTGCAACTGATATTCAAAAACTGTATAATAAAAAGAAAAGAACAAGAAAATATGAGATGAATCCAGAAATCAGTGTGGACTATGAACCAGATCATGCAAGTCCTCCTCAAAACAACAGTTAACACATACAGAGGACTTAAACACTGAAAAATAAGCTCAAAATATATTTAATGTAGTGATGAAGTGATCCATGGTGTTGATGTGGAGTGTTAACTTGCTTCTAATTAATAAAATTGCCTTTTATTTGGTTCTTGTTATTCGTTTAATGTTTTAGTTTTACCTTTTATATGATAATTATTTTCTAGTCCTTGTGACTTTGATGTCATTTTTTGTGAAATATCATGTTTGCCCCTGTAGAAAAGATACTTTATTTTAGTAAATAAGTGACTACTTTGTTTAGAGAATAGTTACTTTTCTTACCAAAATAACTAGAATAAAATAGCAAATTACAAGTTGATTTGTGCAAACTTTTCAGTTGTTGGACTTCATTGATAAAGAAAGTAGTGTTATTTCATTCTATTCTTTAAGAAAAATAGTCATTTCTAAAAAGAAAGTAGCAAATGATTTTTAGTTTTTGGACTTCATTGATAAAAAATATTTGCATAGATCAACTTCTAATTTTCTAGTTTTAATTATTTATCCAAGAAAGTAGTAACTGATCTTTAGTTTTGTTAAAAAAAGAAAAAGAAATTGCACAGATCAGCAACTTATATTTGCTATCCCATTCTAATTATTTTCTTCAAAAACAAAGTAGTCAATGATTTACTAAGATGAATAATATTTGACAGGGGGAGAGATGTCATTTAAAAAGTACCATGAGATACAGTGTAATATCATAATCTTAAGGTCTTCAGCTGCAATAAAATTTCTCCAACGATCTAAGCCATGTTGTCCCAAACTCAAAACTATATTTTCCCCCTTGCAAAAGAAGGAGAATCTGCAGACCTTTTGAATTTGATGTATTTCAGAAGATAAGCCCCCTTTCTAGTGGGAAAACATGATTATGATAATAATGTATTAATTAAATTTTGGAAAAAAAAATTGTAGAAGCAGCAGAGATCGCTTTCACAAATTTTAGATTAAACAAAAAAAAAAAACTATGTTTGTGAACCTTTCATAATGATTATGCCCCTGCTTAGAGACACGGCCCCACCTTCCTTTTTAATCTGCATATATTGCATATAAACATCCAAATGATCATCAACACATTGATCAGTTCTGCAAATATATATATATATATATATTCAAATTTATATTTTTTTTCTTTGTGGCTGAAAAAACTATGAAAAATTACTTTGTCATTCTCTCAAGATTAATTGTAACATGAAAGTAATTAATTGTGTTGAGTAAAACTTGCATGTAATTCTCCCAAAAAACTACTCGCTTCCTCCTATCTAAGTATAGGAGCTGGTGAAAGAGATTATTTAGATCCTAAATGTAAGACTTCAATAGTCCATTATCTCTTACATTAATTATTGTTATTTTTTCCAAAACTATTCCTACTGATTGCACACATATTAATAAGGATAGTACATAGTTTTCAATATAAATGGTTATCATAAAAGGAGGGTATTTTAAGAAAACCAAAACACATTTTTTTACAAATAACTAATTTATCTAATTTACACACACACACACACACACACACAATCGTTTTATTTTTCCTGTATAGTTTCAAATGAAATAATTACCCCCTCTATTCTAGTTTATAAGCCTTTTTTTTAACAAAATTAAGCATACTAATAAGTTTCATTAAATAAATTTTAAAATTTTAATTTTTTAAAACACAATTATAAATCTTTAAAAATACCTTTCATTTAATATAACTTTACTTGTCAAATATCAAATAGAGAGATATACTATATAATAAGAGTGAAGAATGAAATATTATTCTCATCCTATTTTTTTTTCAAATTATATTATATTTTGGAACATCAAATTATCTCTGAAAGATCTTTGAGTGAGGGAGTATAAAAGAAGGGCATTTTTTTCTACAAAAAAAAAACATTTTTTATAAATAACTAACTAAACTAATTTTCTTAATCTAGCCCAGGGAGTATATTGTAATTTTTTTTGGGTAGACGTATATTGTAATTAATTAGACCTTGAGGAGGAAATGATTTTTTGATTGGTCAATAAAAAGAAATGAGATTGAGAAAAATGATAAATACGTACCCATTGCTTTTCTGCAGATTGAGAGAAGAACAATTAAAATGGCGAGACCTGCTAGCACTCCCACAATGATGGCCACAGATTTCCCCACTTGGTCCTTGTTCGAGGAATAATCTTCACAGAGTTCCAAGTTCAACATAAAAGCATAAAATAATTAATATTCACTATTTAACACTTCCTATTAATTTTTTTTATTTGAGTCTCATAGAACTTAAATTAAATCATGCAAATCTTAAATCATGTAAATTAATGTTCACTATTTATTTACATGGCTAACATGTGACCCATAATTAAATATAATGCGATGCTTCAAATTAAATATATATACTCCTTAAACAATGCCGTGAAAATTTTGAGAGTTATATATATATATATATATATATATATGTTGGAGAAGTTGGCGGGAATATTGAACTTTTTAGAACTTGGGATAAAAAGGTTGTTCTGAGATTCCCTATTATCTTTTCCTTTATGAAAAATGTATACGCAGCTTTATGCCATATCCCTGCACCATATGTTGAACCAAAAGAGTCAAGAAGACCAAGATCGCAATGTTTTATTCAACTAGTCGAGAGAGTTAAATTATCTTGCTCTAGAGCTTCGAGTTTGAGTAACAGAACATGTAGTTGCAATAAATAAAAAATGTCAAAGGCATTTTTGAAACACTTGTGAGATTGTCATTAGTAACAATGGCTTTACATAACAGGGATTTAGATTAGTTTGGGTGAATAGTGATAATATTTCTAGATTTTCTAGGATACCATGCAATTGAATCAAAAATAAAAAGAGACAAGAAGAAGGTTGCTAAGGTTCACAAATGTGTTATGATTGGTGAAGAATAGAGATAAACCCTAGTTAACCGAGACTGATGGAAGAAAGTGCAAGACCATTCAATGGTAATAAAGAAGATGAGGGAAGGGGGGGGGGACAAAGCCTGAAACAGTGACTTTTTTCCAAATGCAAATGTAGCAAAGCATATATTCTGAATGCTTTTTACTTTAAAAAGACTACTTGTTGATGATTTATTATGTTTGACAAATTTTTATACTACTTTCTGCCTCGATCCTTCCCTCCCTTTCTTTCTTGTTCCAATTTTAAATTTTCTAAAGGAACAACTACACGGTGGGCCTCTGTGTTGCATGGAGCATATATTAGGAAAAAGGATAGTCCACTGTTTTTCATTTGATCATATATATATATATATATATATTGATGGTTTTTTCAGTTATATACTTCAGATAATGAATGATCAATATCAACATTAAGTCACGCGGTTCACAAAGACATGAATATATATAGTGGAATTTATTCAATGCTCTCAAGCTAGGAGGTTCAAAGGCTAATAGTTGACTCATAAAGACAAAAACAAACACAAATTTTCTCTTTTATTTGTTTTTAAATCTGCTTCAACTATGTAAGATGTATTGAAGAACAAAGTTATATATGATGAATGATGCATACCGTAATTTCCAAACAAGTGGCTTGCAAAAGTGAAACCAGAAAAGAACTCGGGCATAGAGTATTTCTGAAAAGAAAATTAATTCCTCCTTTCTCACCAAGAGGTTTTACCTTTTTAGTTATACATCTCACAATGTTTAATTTGAATCTTAAAATACTATGCACGTCCCATCTTAACTAATACATCAACCTCATTACAATATTTTTATTGCACGAGTTCTTTAATAGTGTTTTTTGTACTATTTCAACTTCCTAATTATTTTTTTTAGCATTAGATTTACATAAAATGAGAGACGATTTAATATGTTGTAGTTTTGTCAAAAACAATGTGGGAATCAAAATGTTGTATATGTAGCTTCATGCCCTATCCTTGCACTATATGTTGAACCAAAAGAGTCAAGAAGATTGAGAAGTACTTTATTTAATTAGTCAAGAGAGTTAAATCATCTTGTTCCAGGGTTTTGAGTTTAAGTAATGGAATTTGCAGTTGCAATAAATAAAGGCATCTTCAAAATACTGGTGAGAATGTCATTAGTAACAATGGCCTTACATAGCAAGGATTTAAATTAGTTTGGGTAGGTCATGGTAACATTCTCAGATTTTCTAGGATGCCATGCAATTGAATCAAAAATAAAGAGAGTCAAGAAGAAGGTTGCCAATTAAGGTTCACAAAAGTGTTATGATTTGGTGAAGAATAGAGATAAACCCTAGTTAACTGAGATTGATGAAACGAAAGAGCAAGACCATTGAATGGTAATAAAGAAGGTGAGAAAAAAACACAAAGTCTGAAACAGTGACTTTTTCCCAAATGTTAATGTAGTAAAGCATATATTCTAAATGCTTTTACTTTAAAAAGACTACTTGTTGACGATATATTATGTTTGACAAATTTTATACTACTTTCTGCCTCGATCCTTCCCTCCCTTTCTTTCTTGTTCTAATTTTTAATTTTGTAAAGAAACAACTACGTACATGGTGGGCCTCTGTGTTGCATGAAGCATGTATAAGCACTAACGATAGTCCACCATTTTTCATTTGTATATATATATATATATATATATTAACATTGATGGTTTTTTTAGTTAAATACTTCACATAATGAAGAATATTATCATATTAATATCAATATTAAGTCACACGATTCACAAAGACATGAAAATATATAGCTTCATTTCTTGGATTTTATGCATTGCTCTTAGATCTATCATTCTAATAATACAACTAATTCGCATGAATCTAGCTTGCTAGGAGGTTCAAAGGCTAATTATATAGTTGACTCGCTCATGAAGAGAAAATTAAACACGATTTTTTTTCTTTTATTTGTTCTTAAATCTGCTTCAACTATGTAAGATGTATTGAATAAAATTGTTATATATGATGAATGATGCATACCCTAATTTCCAAACAAGTGGCTTGCAAAAAGTAAAACCAGAAAAGAACTCGGGCATAGAATATTTCTGAAAAGAAAATTCCTTCTTTCCCACCAAGAGTTTTTACCTTTTTCTAATTTGAACCTTAAAATACTATGCACGTGCCATCTTAACTAATGCATCAACCTCATTACAGTATTTTTATCATACATGAGGTCTTTAATGTTTCTTATAATGTCCTACCCTCTTAATTATTTTTTTATTATTGGATTCTACGTAAAATGAAAGACTAGTTAATTGCAGTTTTGTCATTTTTTTTACAATTTTTAAAATAAAATAAATTAAAACTGCTCAATTTTACAATATTTTTCTCTAAAAAAATCAGAAGTACAAAATTGTATCATTTTATATAAGATTTAATGATTAAAACAAATAATTGGGATGTCACGCCGGCATATTAAAAAGTGGAATATTAGAGACTACATTATTATCTCTTATTTAAATTATGAAGTTTAGGTGCACAAATATCTAAAAACTTTTTCTTTAAGACCCTTCTAGCAATAATTGGGATGTCACGCAGGCAAATTAAAAAGTGAAATATTAGAGACTACATTATTATCTCTTATTTAAATTATGAAGTTTAGGTACACAAATATCTAAAAACTTTTTCTTTAAAATCCTTCTAGCATCATTAAGTCAATAATAATGAATAAATATATATATCCATCAACCTTATATAAAAGATTAGCCTTTCCCAATCCATTAAATTCTATCTTTAAAACTTAACAGTAAACATCATTATATTTTAATAGATTTGAAAAAGTTAACTTCTTTTTGTAAAGTTAATTAATAGGTATTAATGCATTATGATTGACTTAAAAATACTAGAAGTTCTTAAAAAAAAGTTTTTAAATATTTTTGTACCTTCAACCTAATTAAACTATAATTCTCCGGTAGTTATTATTGTTTTCTTTATTACAAGTAAAATATTTTTTTTTTTTTTAAAAGATGAGAATAATGAAAACAAACCTGGTTCGTTGTAATAGCCAGACGCCCAGTACCTTGCATAGCATTGTCCCAAGAACACATCAGCCGCAGCTGCAGAACCACACAAGCTCTTCAGCTTCCTCACTGCGTCTGCAAGGCAAGCCGAACAATCCTCCGAACTCAAATCCCCTAAGCACTGACCAAACCCTTCCACAAAACCCGACGTCCTGACCCGAAACCCGGACGACGCCTCCAGGTCCGCCAGCACGTCGTCCCGCCGCCGGTAGAACTCCTCATCGTTCGCCACCGACTTGCTACACTTCTTGAACCTCACGCTCGTATCAAGCTTCCCTAAGAAATCAAAACGCTCGTATCTGATATAACATTCTTCCAGCTGCAACGAAGCCCCAGAGGCATAAGGGCAAATTAAGCCTATTTGGCTAACACAGCTTGCGATACACTTCGAACAATCCTTTAGTTGCAGGTCACCTCTACACTGGTATAAGCCAAAGATAGTGGAATCTGAAGAAGGGCTTGAAGTGGTGTTTCCGATGGCGAAGCTATTGTAAGAGGATTGAGAGGAAGAGGATGAGAGTGAAGAGAAGAAGGAGGTGAGGCTGGATTCGAAGGGTGAGTTTGGTTGGTATTTGTCTTGGGAGCAACCTCCATAGATGAATCTGTGATGAGGTACGTAGGCGTGGGAGAGAAGAAGAAGAGAAGAGAGGTTCAGAGAGAGGATGACGATGACGACACAGATTGTGTCATTAATGGAGTTTCGTTGAAGGAATTTCGACGGCAACATCTTTTAGCTTGGTTTTTCAGCAGTTTGATGCCTTCTTTGCTTGATAAAGACGATATGCGTAGAGCGAGAGAGACAAATGAGAGAGGCTGGGTCTTATACTTCTAGAGCTGTTTCTATTCTCATTTTTTATTTTTTAAAATTATTTTATAATATAATTTTTAACATTATTTTTTAAAACAAAACAAAAAAAAATCTGCTTGATTGTGTTAATTTAAAAACAATTTTAGTCACCAACAGTTAATAATGATGACTTATAATAATTATTATTTAAAATAACTTTAAGATGCTTTTATTTTTTTATTTTTGAAAACAAAAAATAAGAATAATTTTGGAAATAACTCAATTCAAAAACACTTCTCTAAACAAGTTTTTTTATTTTTTTATTTTTGAAGACAAAACACTGATTTTAAAAATACAAACCAAACATGCTCCTATTTTGGCCTTCCCTAGTTTTCAATTTATGTGAAGTCACTTTTTTGGGAAGTGCTGCAGAAAGGGCGAAAAAAAAAACAAGAAGAAAGAAGAAAGGAGAAAAGAGGTCAAAGAGGGCTCGTCATCACAGCCATGCCGTTCCTGTCGTTAGATAAATATACTTATATTTATAATATTATATCAAAAATTGAATACTATTGGAAGCAGAACCAAGATCTTGAGTTAGGAGGTGCAGGATAATATAATTTAAAAATAAATAAATAAATAAATAATATTTTAATTTTTAAAATTAATTACATTAGACAAAAAATATAATAATATAAATAAAATTATATATATTTTTATTTGGAAAAAATATATTGATATTTTTTTACCAAAAACATGATGAAAAGGTTGATATGAAGCTTAAATTTAAACTCCTAAATATTTTTTGTTGAGTCTAAAAAGTTCAAAAACCTAAAAATATAAAGTGTAAAGTTATAAATTTCTTATATTATACGCACAATTTTTTCCATGTGAGGGGGTGCATTCCCCCCCCCCCCAACACCCCCACATGTACGTGGCTCCGCCACTAACTGAGAGAATGTGACAGTAGGAAAGATCAAATTAATATCAGTTAAATTCTTAATAAATTTTTTTGGGAAATAAATTATAATGTTAACTTAAACAGTTGTAAATAATAATTAATTATATATAGAACGCAGTAGAGGATGAATATACATTTTAGCGTGGGCAATTGCCCCCTTTAATTTTGTGATACTTAACATAAATATGGACTGAGTTTTAATTTTCCTCTACTAGTATGTTAATTTTGAACCCATTGATTGAAAGAGGAATAAGGTAAGAAGAAGAAGAAGTAGGGAGGAAAGAGATGACAATCACCTAAGTTTGGGTGAGAGGTTGGGATGCAGTGCAAGAGCTTGTTGGAGTTGGAGGAAAGAGGAAGTATAGTTGGATCTAGAATTTTAGATTTAATATATGAAAATTTGGAACAATAGCTAGTAAGAAAGAATTGAGATTTTAGAATAATTTAAGCATTAAGAACTTTAATTTCAAACCTTTTAATTCTTATGTTCTAAGTGCAATCGTTTATTTATTTTTTTTAATTTTTTATAAAAAATTTTTATAGATTTTTACTAAAATCATTTATCTAGATTTAAATAATTTTGACTTTCATTTTTTTGTTTATTTGTTTTAGCAAATAAAGTTGGTATATTTGAGAGAGGTCTCATTATTATTTAAATAATTGATTAGGGTTTGAAACTCAAGTTTTGCACAGGTAAAAAATACACCGCCTCCACTAGTCTTGAATCCTTGATTCGCCATTGTTAAAATGTAAATAAGGCATTTAGATCTTTTGAACTTATAATTATTTTAATTAATATTTGCAATTTATTTTTTAAAAAAAATTCAAAAATTTAATTGCAATTAATTTATTTTTTAGAACTTAATCATGATTCTCTCAATACTAGTACTGTTTGTTCGGCAAAAGAATATACTCTCCGGTCCAAAAAATCCTTATATCAATAAAGTCCTCATTTTCATAAAAATATATATTGCTTTTACCTTTTATCTTTGGCTCCAATTATCAATGTATTTCATGATGAATGAGAGATATATTCACACAAAGATCTAGACTAATAAATACTCCCTCAATCCTTTGTCATGCCTTAAAAATAGAGGAAGAACTTAGCATCGGCAGACTTAATGGCGGGAGGTACACCAGCAATGGTGGCTCACACAAACAGTGGCGCCACTAGTTGTTGAGAGGGAAGAAGGCAGCAATTGTTGAGAGACAAGGCAAGGGTTTGTCCAAAGCTCTCAACTCTCTTGCTCTACTCCCAGAATAATCGAAGAAGGAAAGAAAGAAGAGTTTAAAAAGAATTGATTGTGATAAAGGGAATTTAGTAATTTCATAAAGTCTAACAAAATAAAATAAACTCCTTGGGCCCAAACCAAATTCAAACTTGGGACCCTTTTGATGGATTATTTGTATGGTTTCCACGATACCAACACTCCTTGTCATAGTTATTCTAAGAATTAATATAATTACTAGTAAAACACAAACCTATATATTTAATTTTACTTAAAATTCCTAGGTCATTACATTCTCCCCTTAAGAAATTCAATCCTCTAAATTTAAATTTGTGCTTACCTCAATTTTTAAATAAGTGTGGATACTTAGCATGCATATCACTTTTGACTTCCCATGTAGCTTCTTCTTAAGAATGGTTATGCCATAACACTTTCACCAAAGTAATTTCTTTCAACTGTAACTTTTTTACTTGTCTATCTAAAATAGCCACAGGAACTTATTTATAAGATAAATTTGGAGCTATCTAAATCCCCTAAGTTTCTATCACATGAAAAGGGTCATATAAGTATTTTCATAGCATTGATACATGAAACATCGGATGAATGCCTCACAATTCATGTGGTAATGCCAACTGATAAGCAATTGTACCAATTCTCTCTAAGACCTCAAATAAGCCTATATATATCTTGGGCTCAATTTACCTTTCTTACCAAATCTCATCACTCTTTTCATAGGGGACACCTTAGGAAATACCTTATCTCTAATCATAAATTCTAACTCCCGACGTTGGTTATCAACATATATAAGATTTCTATCGACTCTGGGCTGTTGTTAATCTTTCTCTGATTATTTTCACTTTTTCAATAGTATCTCGCACCAGATCTGGTCCCAAAAGCTTAGCATTAGTAATATCGAACCAGACCTACATTGTCTACTGTAAAGTGCTTCATATGGAGCCATTTATATCTAGCTTGATAACTATTATTATAAGCAAACTTCACTAAGGCTAAGTAGTGATCCCAACTACCACCAAAATCTAAAATACAAGGCATCAACATGTCTTCAAGTATCTGGATGGTTCTCTCAGATTGACCATCTGTTTATGGATGAAAAGTAGTACTAAGATCTAGCTGAGTGCCTAAAGCCTCTTGTAAATTACCTTTAAAATCAAGAAGTGAATTGGGAACCTCAATAAAAAATTATTGACACTGAAACCCCATGCAATCAAACAATCTCATCAATATACAATTGAGCATGCTTATTAACATTATAAGTTGTCTTCACCAGAATGAAATGAGCTAACTTAGTCAATCTATCAACGATAACCCAAATAAAATCGTATCCTTTCATGGTACGAGGCAATTTGGTAACAAAGTCTATCATGATATTCTCCCATTTTCACTTTGGTATCTCTAATTGTTGATATAATCTAGCTGGCTTTTAATGTTCTACCTTAACTTGTTGGTATGTCAAACAATGTCAAACAAAGTCTACTACATCCTTTTTCATGCCATCCTACCAATACAATAGTTTCAAATCTTGATATATCTTTGTTGCTTTTGGGTGAATAGTATATGCAGAATGATGAGCCTCTTTCAAAATAAGTCACTTTAAGTTTTCTCTTATGGCACACAAATTCTACCATCACATCTTAATATCCTTTCTCGGTCAACTTCAAACTCAGTGTTACTTCATGTTATGATTGCTTCCTTCAACTTGCATAACTTTAGATCTAAAAATTGAGCACTATTAATATGATCCATTAGAGAAGAATGAGCTTGAACATGAGCTAGAAATGTTCCCTTATTGATAATCTCAAATTTCACTTCACTTTGCTTAAGCTTATGAATTTCTTGCATAAAAGCCTTCTTGCCAAAGTCATATGCGCCAAGCTTCCCATAGACTTTCTACTTAAAGCATCAGCCACAACATTTGCCTTGCCAGGATGATAAAAAATTGTATAATCATAATCCTTTAACAACTCTATCTATCTTCTCTGTCTAAGGTTAAGATCCTTCTACTAAAAAATATGCTTAAGACTTTTATGATGAGTATAAATCTCACAAGTCTCACCATAAAGGTAATGGCGCTAAATTTTCAATACAAAAACCATCGCTGCCATTTCTAAATCATGAGTTAGGTAGTTCTGCTTGTGCTTCTTAAGTTTCCTTTAGACATAAGAACAACGGATCTTACAGTAATTAATTCTCTTATATGAGACTTTAATATAAGTGTCCCAAAATGAAAACCCTCCTCAAGGCTGTCCTTGCTTGAGTCTCTCTTGTACCATTTTAGGAAAATAAAGGAAAGCTTATAAATCTTTGAAAAAAAATTAATTGTTTAGTTCTTATAGTTTTAATTCAGTTGTAATCCAATTCCTAAACTTTGACTTGTTGTAACTTAATTCTTAAAATTTTAACACTGTTGTAACTTAGTCTCTAAACTTTGACTTTTGCAACTTAGTTTTTATATTTTTAATTATTTAAATATTAATTTTTATATTTTAAAAAATAAAATTACTCCTTTTATTAAAAAATGTAAAAAATAATTTTAGAAGGTTGGATACTAAAAAATATAAGATATTTTTAATCTTTCAATGTGTAATCATTACCTTTTTTTTTTCAAAGTGGCCTTGTTGAATAAATTATTTTATATTTATTTTAGGGTAAAACACCCTATTAAATAAAGATAAATATGAAAAGATATGGTCAGTTTGAAGATAAGTAATTATCTTACCAGGGGTGATATTTGGTTAACAATATCTTACATTTTTTAACGGATGGAGTGTAAAATTTAAAATTATGTCAAAATTTATGAATAATATTTTTAATTACTAAACCTTTTTAATTTTTATAAATATTAAAAGTTTAAAATATGTTTAATCTGTAGTATTATTTTATTTCTTAAAATATAGGAACTAACATTTAAATAGTTAAAACTATGAAAACTGATTTATAAGAGGTAAAGTTTAGAGAATAAGATATAACTGAGTTAAAACTATAAGAATTAAGTTATAGTGAGTCAAAATTTATAGATTAAGTTATAACAAAGTTAAAATTATAAAAATTAAATAATTAATTTTTTTCTAAATATTTCAAAAGAATAGATAAATACAAAGAACGCTAAAACTTAAAACAGAGCAAAGAGATTTTTTTTTTCCACAGAAATTCATTGAAGTAGTTGATAAAACAATGTTAATTAATTTTCAGTTTAAAACATTAATAAAAGAAATTTTATTATTTAAAGTAATTATTTTTTAATTAACTGTCGACTTATACCAAGTTCTCCCTAAAATTAATTACAATCCCGATGGAAAAACACTTTCTCGTGCCGTGAGTTGAGGTCTAGCGGATCCATTTCTCTTCGACTGCGAGCAAGCGTTCCACACTCTGTCGTCTGTCGGACGCCTTTCACCGTTGTCAGCCTTGCGTGGTTGTTCTCGGGCAAGCAGTGAAGAAGATTCAAACACTAGGGCCTTTAATACTCCCAAAATCCGGTGAGATTGATTTGTTCAATCTGGCTTTGAATCTGGATTTGACTTTATTCCCCGCGTCATCTGTCCCCTGCGTGACTGTTCTTGCTTTGTTTTAAATTTTTCATTTTAATTTGGCTTTAAATCTGGTCGTGTAATCGTTTGAATATTGACGCTTTTGAATATGGGAATATTTACATGTTGAGTTTTTCTTTGCACTAGTTTTTGCTGATGGTGTGTGATTGGCTGTTATCCTTCTTCCTTCTTCCTTCTTCATTTTGATTGCTAGCGACTTGTATGATTTGGATTGTGTTGTTTTTCAATATTGGATTTGTCGTATAAAGGCATTCTGTTTATTAATCTTTTTTGTATGATCATCAATTTTGGAAAATTCTCAGGGTATTTGTGATGTATGATCTTGTAAATGACTTGGTTTGAGTTGTGTCAAAGTATCTGGAGCAAAAATTAAAAGGGTATTATATCAACTATGCATGTTTCAAAGATTTCATTGGGGGCAGATGCCCGCAGAGTGTAGTATAGGTCCGCCTATGTCTCTAGCATTCATTATCTTACAATGTTTTCTTAGTTTGTTCCAATGGAAATCACTATTTTGTATGGCCATTTTCTGATAAGAAGTGTTCACCGCGTCGTTTCTTTCTTTCTTTCTTTCTTTTTGGTAGATTACTAGTTAATGGGAGAAATTTCACTGAGAAAAAGAAAAGTTAAAATCCAGAAAATCCTGAGTAAATGGGTGACTAGTGATATATGCAATGACTTTTATTTATTTTAAAACCTTGATATTCATGGGTTTATTGCTTATGGGCACTTATGTGTATTCTTTTTTTTTTTTTTTTTTTTCAGGAAAGCTTGCTGGTTGATGCAGTGCAATGATTGTGATTTTGCTGAAGACTAATTGTAGCTTTGCTCTGGCTCACATTAGTACAATTTGGGAAGAAATTTACTTCTATTTCTATTTTTTAACAGAAAATAAGCCTAGGCATTTCTCCGAGTGCAGCTAAACAACCATGAACAACATCAATCGCAGTACATCACCTCAAACTCTGACTACGGAGAAAGCACATTATAGATGGCCTCTTATTCCTCTTTCTGTCCTTATTATTTTGGTTTCTTTCCTGCTTTTTTATTACTACACTCTGTCTCTGACACCCTATGGTAACTTTCCTGCATCATCCAAAATATTAAAATCAAAGTCCAGTCGATGTTCCAGCCAAGCACTAGCCTTAGGTGAGAAATTCTTGTGGTATGCACCCCACAGTGGGTTCGGTAATCAGCTTTTGGAGTTTAAGAATGCTATTTTGATGGCGGGAATATTAAATCGAACTTTGATTGTTCCTCCCATTCTGGATCACCATGCTGTTGCTCTTGGTAGCTGTCCCAAGTTTAGGGTTTTGGATCCTACGGAGCTCCGAATTTCTGTTTGGGATCACATGATTGAACTCATTCAGGGTGGAAGGTTAGTAGGCTCTTTTATTCTGTTAGTTTACTTATAAGTGTCTGTAGAAATGACGAGGAAAGAAGTATATGATGCTTCACTCTTGTTGAGATTGAGATGAGACATTGCTAATTTAGTGAACCTTTTGTTGGATTTTTTTTGTCCGGTTAAAATTGAGATAGTGAGGTTAAGATGTATAATCTGTATACTTACCAAAATGTTGGCCCTCCTATCACATGATTTTCACTTGCAGTTGACTGCTTTACATTTTTTAAAATGGGAGTTTATCTTTTCATATGTTGTCCCCTTTTTTGCTTTTTGATGACAAAGTTATAATTAAGAAAGTATTACATCAAACACTACAGAGTTGGGGAGTGGTGGCCCCATGTTTCTGTTGTTATAAGCAAGTTTGCTACGTCAGAGGAGGTTCGGGGAGATAATGCTTCCCCAAAATAAGGTTAAACTATGAAGCTGATTACCACAAAAAAAATGAAAAGAACAGAAAACTATATGAAGCTAAGTAATATGTGCAGTTCTTGCTCTCCCTTTAGACATGCAGCAACTCCACTCTCCATTCTCGAGAGAAGCTTCTGAATAGCTCAAATAGTACTGTAAATTGTATTATTTCCATAGAAAAAGGTGTATTCAATATTGTATTTCACTTGCTCATCTGTAAGTATTAAGAAATTTTGTTTAACTTTGTTTCTTGCAGGTATATTTCCATTGCTGAAATTATAGACATCTCCCCATTAGTTTCTTCCTCACTGGTTCGTGTGATTGATCTCAGGGATTTTGTGTCAATATGGTGTGGTATCAGCTTAGATTTAGCTTGCTTAAGTGATTCAAAGGTTCAGTCCTCTTTCAATTTCAGACAAAAGCAATGTGGTTCCCTGTTAGCTGGGGTCCATGGGAGTGTTGACAACTGTTTATATGCTGTCAATGAAGATTGCAGAACTACAGTATGGACTCACCATAGTGGTAGTGAGGATGGAATGTTAGATTCGTTCCAACCTGATGAGCAGCTGAAGAAGAAAAAGAATGTAACATATATTAGGAGACATAGAGATGTATTCAAGACTCTTGGACCTGGTTCTGGGGCTGAATCTTCCTCACTGCTTGCATTTGGAAGCCTTTTTACAGCCCCATACAAAGGTTCTGAGTTATATATAGACATCCATGAACCTGTTCAGGACCAAAGGATCCAATCTTTGATGGAGAAAACTAAATTTCTTCCATTTGTCTCGGAAATTGTTAGTGCAGGAAGGGAGTTTGCAAATGCTACCATAAAGGCTCCATTTCTTTGTGCACAACTGCGACTGTTAGATGGGCAGTTCAAGAATCACCGGAAGGCTGCATTTCATGGACTGAAACAAAAATTAGAATATTTACAGCAGAAAGGTCCTCTGCCCATACATATTTTCCTAATGACTGATCTTCCTGGAGAAAATTGGGCTGACACTTACTTAGGTGATCTAATAAGTGATTCACTTCACTATAAGGTATATTTCTTGAGAGAGGATGATGAGCTGGTCAGACAAGCGTCCAAAAGGCTCAAGGAAGCTGGTTATGAGCAGAGGTTTATTCCATATTCGGATAAGGCAGCTGATAAAAAGTATTGTTTGAATCAGAAGTTACCTGATGTACTTCTTTATGTGGAGCAGACAGTATGCAGCTGTGCGGCACTAGGCTTTGTTGGAACTGCTGGTTCAACTATTTCCGAGAATATAGAGCTATTAAGAAAATTTGGCTTGTGCTCAGGTCAAAGTTGATGGCTTTGTGCAATTGGCTGGCAAATTGTTAAATTTTGTTCCCTTGATGGAGTGCTAATCTCATCTGACCTTTGCACCTTAAATCATGTTGCTCCAGAAAGCCGCGTTTCTTGTCACTGCTCCCCAAAATTTGGTGATCAGTCTACAACGCTAATCCATAGTCATTTGTCAAAGTCAAGAGATGACACGATGTCAAGGGCCTTGTCCGGATTTTGATTCAATGAGATCATATCAGTTTCGTCCCTGCCCTCCGTCTGTGAGTTGTGAATAGATGGCTATAATAGATTCTTATTGCTCTTTACTGAATTCACCGCATACTGAATCCAAATTTGCCTTTCCCCACGTTAGGTATGAATCTTCGCCAAGGTGCTTCTTGGTATTTTGGTAGAAACTTGAGACTTTCTTGAATTAAGAGAAACAAATCCCCTCAGGTCAATAGTCAGAATACAGGATGATGAATTACAGCAGAAAAATATGGAAACAAAGATGAAAATGACTCTCTTTCGAGAGGATAGAGTTTATCTACCCAATTGTGTTAGTTCTTCACGAGAAAATTCTCCAACCATTTTCAAACAAAACAAATATTAGTGACTCAAACTCAATATGAATTTTGCTATGATAAATAAAAGTTCAGTTTTTAGCGGACTTATTTCCTATTCATCTTTAAAGGGAGCTACCTCTTGAATGATTTTGCCCATTTAATTTCATCCTGATATAGAACTCCCTTGTGAAAGTTTTTACTTTCTTAATTTTTATTATGAGGTTCCTTTCTGAGGATTCTGCCATTTTGATTTTCCCCTCATTTGTTCCTTTTGACTTTGTTATGGATAATTGCTTGTGTTATTTATTATCAAGCATCAGTGATTTTGCTTCCATAGGACTACTGTGGCTACTAACATTTTGTGGTTGCATGTGCTCATCGTGGAACCGAATAATTTATTGTTTTTTATTGATTTGATTAAGACATTATTTAGTTGCTCTGTAGTCTGTACTCTCTGTATGTTTGCATGTGAATACTGTTGAACGTATATTTTGGTTCTGAGCCACCTTCATGTGACAGCATTTGTTGTGTGTTTATTTTAAAATTATAAAAATCAATCATATTGTGTATTAATATTAAGTTCATGTTAGTTGAAGAAAAGCTTGCCCATTGGAGTTTATGAGAAACTTGGTGACTCTAGAATGGTGGGAAATTTTGTCCGTATCTTGATGTGTGGGAGCGTGAGAATTTTATTTTCTTCAGATACATTTTAAGGTAATGTTTGATACACAGAAAAATGTTCTCCAAAAGAGAAATGATAAATGTACCTGGAAAGAAAATGTGATAGGTACATTTCTCATTTTCTTATAGAAAATATTTTTCTACCTACCAAACATTATATAAATTCCTGTTTTGATATTTCGTTAAGCCTATTATTTTAAATATGTTTCTTTTCTATTTTGTTTTATTTAGTTATGATATTTTGATGCCCCTCCCCAGTTCAATGTTCTTAATTTGACATTTTATTTTTTATATTTTTATATTACAATACTAATTCATTATATGGTATTCTTGAGAAATTTTTAATTTGTTCTTGTTTTGTCAAGAAGTTAATTACTTTTATTCAAGAGGGAGAATGTTGTGATGTTATCTATAATCAAAGTACACTGCAAGAAAGCACAAATTTTTCTTTTTGCACGGCATAAATGTTAAGAGAGAATTTCTTGCAGATTTTTTTCATGAAAAATGAATTTTGAAGGTTTTCTCATGGCATAAATATAGTTCCAACTTCCAAGCATGCTTTGGAAAAATATGCATAAATATTAATGATATGTAAATATATGCATATTTCCATGTTTATCTGGGCTACATGACATTTATTAAGATGATTATTCTAAGATTATAGCACATGAACTTCATGTTATGCCAATGGATCAGCATGTTAGCAACTGAATAGCTGAAATTGAAATTTTCTGTAACAATTTTTTGTTTTGAGCTGAAAGTTGATTCTAAAGATCTCCAATGATCACATGGATTTAATCATATGTTTAAGGACAATATACTCTTTGAATGATGTCCGACAAATTGGTGATTGAAGTTCTGAAGCAGGAGAAAGATAATTACAAAATTAAGGAGATCACGTAACTTTTAGTCATTTAATTTAAATGTTTTTTAGTTATTGATTTAGTTTTGTAAATTTAATTTTCATCAATTTGGCCCTTTGAGTTTACTCTAATTTTGATTTAGTTTTTATTATTTAAAAAGTGATAACACTGTTAACATGAATAATAGAATATTGATTACAGCAATGTAGATTAATGAAAGGGAAAATTACATTTAGGTTCCATACAAAAAAATTAATTATTATAAAATTCATTAACAACTAAAGGTCATTTACAACGTGCTCTTAGTTCATTTGTTAATGATTTATAGTAATTAATTTTTTTATATGAGATTTTAATTTATTCCTTCCTAATGAAAAGTATATTTATTTAGGCAGAAAAAAGTAGATTCTATACAATGTAAAGAATTATATTAATAAAAATTGAACTGATTTGAAAGTTAATTTTTTCTCATTTAGCTACATCTACATATCAAGGTATTAATATATTTTACACATTAGATTATTTTAAGAGTTAATTTATTTAAAAATTTAAATGACTCACGTGATAATTTTAAATAACAGAAGGGTTTAAACTGACAAAAATTGAACTTGAGGAGGAAAAACAAACTGGAACTAGTAAAGCAAGCCAAGTAAGGAGTTATGTTTGCATAATAAATTGTACTACTTGTTTCGGTCATTGTATAGGTTGTTTTTTTTTTTTTTTCAATGTATAGTTTTGCATTTTTCTTATAAAGTAAGCTCATTAAACTTTAGAAGGAGACAAGAACCAATTCGATTGGATTTTTCTGGATTAAGTTATGACTTTTTAAAGTTGGCCAAAATCCTGAAAAATGTCAGGTGAATAATAACCTGAGATTGAGTCGGAAATTTCAAAGGTTGTCTAACTTCAACCTGTCTTAAATGGATCCTAGAGGAACCTAAAGGGAAGGCTTCTGTTGAGATTAATGGTTCCTAAATAGACATCAAGATCACACTAATTGGATTTGAAATTTTGTTTTTCAAAAAAAAAAATGACACTTGAGACCGAATTGATCGTTTTGGGCCTAATATAAAACTTAAGTGGTCTAAGCCCAAAGAAAACCCATTATAAATTATAAATATAATGGCAGAATTTCTATTAAAAAAATAAATATAATGAGAGAATTACAAGTAGGTCCCAAAAAAAATATTTTCAGTTCATTTACAAGTCAAATTTTTATATTTACACCAACAAAAATTAAGTCAGTTGATAAATATTTGATTTATAAATCAAAAGGTCACAAGATTAGGTCTCATTCATGATATGATAATTTTGTTGATAAGTGGTTCGTAAATAATTTTATAAGTGTCTTTAAATCTGAAAGCATGTTCTGGTTTTTGTGAGCCATCAAAACTCAACTCATCGAATTTTTTTTTTTACAAGAAAATATATATACATTTACATGATAAACTTCAATATTTACAACTTGCAAGTTAGGGATTTGTAAGTAATTAATTTTGTCTCATTTGTAAGTAATTAATTTTGTCATTTGAGACCTGTATTGTAATTCTCTCTGTAATCATTTGAACCATTCATTCAAGTTTTTCAATAACCAACACATGACAGACCATGAGTGCCACAACCAACCAAATAACCAATACAACAACGAATTGGATCGCCAAGGTTCCATGAGGACTCATGCCAAACACAAGTGAATAACTACCATGCATGCCATGAACATGAAGTTTTGGACCAGGCATGTTTCTGAAAAGGGACAATCACCAAGAGGGCCCATAGAAGAAATTTAATTTCCACAAAATCCCATGAAATACAAAAAAAACTTTAAAAAATCATAGGTCTGAGTTTGCAAAGACATCTTTTCACCAAAAAAAATATATTTACATTTGGGACCTTTGACTTAATTAAAATAATTCAAAATGTATTGGGATTTAAGTGAATTTTTTTTTTTTCATTTTGGAGGCCTTAGGTGTGATTCTAGGGCATTTTGGTAAATGTACATCAAGGTATGTGAATACAGTTTCTTAAAAGGGAAAATCACCTAGAGGACCCATAGAAGAAATTTAATTTCCAAAAAGTCCCATGAAATTCAAAAATAACTTTCAAATCCCATAGGTCTTAATTTGCAAAGATGTCTTTCACAAAGAAACATATTTATATTTGGGACCTTTGACATTACAAAAATATTTCAGAAAGTATTGAACCTTAAGTATGATTTTTTTTTCATTCTGGAGGCCTTTGATGCGATTCTTCCTTTTTATCTTTTTAAATAAGGACATTTTGGTAAATTTACATCAAAATTTATTTACAAATAAGGCTCATGGAATTTAAAAGAATTGTATTTTCATTTCATAGGAATTTTTGGAAATTAAATTCCTTCTCTGGAACCTGTTAGTGATTTTTTCTTCTCAAAATCCTAGTTGCCACGCATTTCCAAATCACTATTACGTTCAACTATCATAAGTTTAACGAGATGTACAAAATACATGAACCCTATGATAGATTACACATAGGACTAGGAAACGGGTTGACCCGATGCTAATGGGCTTGGTTTATAGGGGTTTGAATTCGTAAGCCTGCATTCTTTTAAAATTTTCTTAAAATATAAAAAATAAGTAAATCCAAACACAACCCTATGGTTTGTATTTATTTTAAAAACAAAAAAAAAATAGGATCAGCCCAAGCCCTTCAAAGCTAAGCAACCCGCAAGGCTGATGTATCATTTTAAAGCCCAGCCTTTTAAAAACAATGACATAAACAAGCCAACCCTTTGCACCTGGTTCATTTTCTTGGCTCTATTTATAAATAGGAGTTATTAAAGCTCATACAAATTAATACCAAAAGTCAAAATAGTCTAATAGAGATAGGATGTCACGCCCCTGATTAACAAGTAACCAACATTGAATTTGCAAAAAATATTGTTAACAAGTTTTTTTTGTTTTTTAGAATTGACAAGTAAGCATTATCAAAATGATAAGTTATGTTATGGTTTTAATAAATCAACTTTACATCGTTAGCAAGTTTATTTACTGAATTAATAAGTAAGCATTAACAATAACAAGTTCACTTTGACTTAATTTGGAAACTTGACTTATTTTCTATACAAGATTTTGTGTTATATAAGTTCACTCAGGCTTGGTAGTTATATTGCTCGGTGGTTATATAGCTCCAAATCTCCAATGACAGTGATTGGCGGATTGAAAAAAAATAAATGAAGGTTAATTTGGTTATTTTCTTTTAAAGAATAATTTCAATTTATTTCATTGGTCCTGCATTGTAATTTTAGAATTATTTGATCCTTATTTAAAATAAACCTTCTACGATGGTCCTTTACTGAAACCCTCCCTTATTTTACATAAGATTATATTAAATAAGAGCTTATGTTACTATTTAATAATAATATACTTGTGCCGTTTGTGAGCCAGCAGGAAAATGTCATTCACTATAATGTATTTAGTTTCATATTTATATTAATAATTTTTATCAAATATTAATATTAATAGACTAATTTATTAACATATAATTAATGGATTAGAGGGAAAATTTTCCCTGAAACTATATATAGGTCTAGAAGAGTCTAGGATCT